CCCCAAAACCCCAAAACCCCAAAACCCCAAAACCCCAAAACCCCAAAACCCCAAATGTCATACTAAAATTGAAAATATTTTTAATAGCTATACAAATGAAGAGACAAAGTAAATTCCTGAACCAGGAGAGCCATAATAACCATTGATATCTTCGTTCGAGTACAAGTCCTGTAAAACCAGCTCATAAAAAGAGTCTTTCAAGAAGTCCGAACCGTAAAAGCTTGTCAAAAATTCCAAAATCGAGAAGGATCAGAAGAAAGAACATGAAATTTACTCGCAAGGATAAGTACAACTCTGCGTTTCAGCCTTACAACCAGATAATAGGGATGAGTGGGAAGAGTATACAATATTTTAGCTCGAACAAGAAGATCTCTGAGAAAATCCTTTTCCAAGCCCCTGTTCACCAAGACGTCTCAATTCAGAAGTCAACAACTGCAGGCAACCTGAGGAGATTAAGGGTTGCACAGGACCATAATAATGCCTGGGATCAGTTCAACGATGATTGTTGTGATGAAATCCCCCAAGAAAATTCAACAGTCAGTGCTAATAATATCAGGCTTTTTGAGAGCCGTTTTAATTTCAAGGAAAAATAAGGGTCATAAACTTCATCCTGATGACTTTAATATTCTAAAAGGCTACGATTGAGAAGTAAGGAATCAAACTTCCCGAAATTCACCGCCTAAAAAGCTGCACATTAGCCTGAAAAATAACAGAAATTTACAGAATGGTCGGAATAAGTCACCTGTAGGTTAAAAATTCCCATTATTATAAATCTTTTTATGGAAAATTCTTAGTCACAGTTCTTATATTTCCAAGGGTGTAAAGTGAGAAGATCTAAACCAAAACTACTTTTAACTGCAGTTGAAAAGCCTTGCTTCCAGTTTAGGAAAACAAATCTGCTATAATTTATACTTGGTGTGCTACCGATACTAACCAGTATGAAATTCTGGTTCGCTGAAAGTTCATAAATTATAGCCTGTCTATTACTAATTAATCTACAATTTTATAACTTCTGAGATCTGTTGTAATATCCCATGTAGGCATCCTCGGAGCAATCTCCTATGAAATATGGGGTAAATTGTAAAGCTACATACAGCTGAGGATTCTCAACCAAAAAGAGCAGCACAATGAGGCTCAAACATTTACTTAGTAACGATGAAAAGATCATCTCAAAGTATAATAATGTCAGAAAATTAGGACATGAGGAAATCAAGGAAGAACAAGAATTATCTGAGTCAAAGATGAGATCCGATGAAGGAAAGCAAGGAGATTCTCTTAGTTCACCAATTGTACATAAAAATCCGTTCAAGAAGAGCAGTGGGGGCTCTCCCGGATATCAAGAAATTGAGACTCCTGAGTTTCTACATAGAATGAAGATTGCAGGAAGGAAGGATAATAGCCAACCAAGGAAGAGAAGTTTGATTTTTAATTTCAAAACATTACCAAAGAAAAATAAGAGAAAGAAGTCAGTGCCATTTCCAGTCCATGATTCTAATTTATTTAATTTCAATTAATTGAAAATTATTAGGGGTTTTGGGGTTTTGGGGTTTTGGGGTTTTGGGG